AACGTAGAGAAAAGTAAAGTCCTACACTTAGGCAAGGAAAACCAAAAGTCCACATACAGACTGGGTCAAACCAGGCTCAAAAGCAGGAACTGGGAGAGGGATCTTGGAGTCTTAGTGGACAACCAGCTAAATAGGAGCCAGCAGTGTGCAGCCGTAGCCAAAAAAGCTAATGCAATCCTAATTTGCATTAACAGAGGGACACAAGATCAAGGAAGGTACTAATACCACTCTATAAAGCCTTAGTAAGGGCACACCTAGAGTACTGCATTCAGTTTTGGTCACCACACTACAAAAAATATGTTGGGACTCTAGAAAACGTGCAGAGAAGAGCAACCAGGATGATGAGGGGACTGGAGACTGAAACATACGATGACCGGTTGCAGGAACTGGGCCTGGCTAATCTAGTAAAGAGAAGGACCAGGGGAGACAGGAGAGCATCTTCCAATATTTGAGGGGCTGCCCCAGAGAGGAGGAAGGGGTCAGGCTATTTTCCAAGGCACCTGAAGGCCAGACAAGGAACAAAGGATGGAAACTGAACCAGGAGAGATTCAACCTGGAAATAAGGAGAAACATTCTGACAGGGAGAACAATCAACCCATGGAACAGAAGTTGCCCTTGGAAGTTGTGGGAGCGCCATCACTTGAGACTTTCAAGAAGAAATTGGACTGCCATTTGTCAGAAATGGTGTAGGGTCTCCTGCTTGGGTGGGTGGGGGTTGGACTAGATGACCTACAAGGTCCCTTTCAACTCTGATTATCTGTTACCTGCTGAAAAGCAGGTTAGTGGGGTGGGGAGGAAATGGGGTTTTGCAGTATATCCTTCCCCTGCCACACCCACCAAGCCACACCCGCCACATCACGACCACAGAACCGGTAGTAAAAGAAAATTGAATCCCGCCACTGGGTTCACCCTACTTTTAGTTTAAGGTTATAATCCAGATAATCCTCAATTGGTGACTGCCATCGAGCCCAACATTTATGTTGCTCGGCGAGGCAGTTACGAAGCGAGCTTTGCCTCATTTTACGACCTCCCTTTGCCACGGCTGTTAAGGGAATTGCCCGCCGTTGTTAGGTTGGTCACAGGTCAGTAAGCAAATCTGACTTCCCCATTGGCTTTGGCTTGTCGGAAGGTCGCAAAAGGGGATCACGTGAAAACCCCCCGTCCTAAATATGAGTCCGTTGCCAAACGTCTGGATTTTGATCACGTGACCACGGAGATGCTGCCACGTTTGGTTGAAAAAAACGGTCGTTAAGTCTCTTTTGACAATGCCGTCGTAACTTCAAAGGGTCCCTAAATGAACAGTTGTAGGTCAAGAATTCCCTGCACTACTTTCGTATCGCCGTATAAAGTTATAATACTTGAAACTGGCAATGCCAGGGGATGCGCTTCCGTCCTCGGCCCTTTTATCTTCCTGGGAAGTCGGCAGGTCTGGTCTGAGGTGCTTTTTCGGATTATGGTTCTAGCCCAGGCTCGGGATTCTTTTATCCGACTGTCGTCTCAGTTGCAGCTCTTCCCGCTTGTTGCTCAAGGCCCGTCCTTCTGCCCATCAGGCAGACTGAGCCCCTCTGAGCCCCAAACCCCAGTTGGGTTTGCCAGAATGTTCTGACCTAGGCTTCCCCGACAGCATGAAGCCGACTCCTCCTCCCGATAAAACCCCTTTTATTTAGGTTCAAGGGAAGTCCTCTCCAGGAAAGTCCCGGCCAACAGTCTTTCAAGAGATTGCACAACGACAGACTTTTTATCAGACTGGGCGATAGTTGGCAGGCCGATAGCTTCCAAATGCCACGCTGTACCCGAAACTACTTGGCAAGGAGTCACGACCAAATCTTCACCCTCATTAAACGAACTAATTGTCTCCTGCAACCTCCACTCCCCTTTCGCTCCTTTTTATTCCCTATGGGAGGGGCCATTCACTGTCCACCTGTGTCTTTACTCCTGAGTTGACCCTTGTTCCTTAGCTGTTCCCTTCTCCTGGCAGCTCTGCACATGCGCACACTGGGAACAGGCTCCAGCTATTCTTCTGCCCCACTGATCTCCGTCTCTGAAGGCAGCTGATAACTGTCAGACGGCCCTGGCCCCATCTCTGCCTCCGACACAGAGCCCTCATCCGAGCCTCCCCCAGACTCCAGGACTGGCCCATGCTTCTCCCCAACTTCCTCACTGTCCAAATCTTCTGCCAGCTCTGCTGGCCACTGGCAGGCCACAACACAGAAATGCTGTCAGGGCTCTGACATGCACCCCCATTCAAATCATAAGTCTCTAGCCACATTTCTCAGAGTAAAAAAAAATCGATTTATTAGGAGTTGACATGTTGGTGTTTCCTGGTTGCAGCCGACTCTAAGGCACATCCTTCATTTCCCTCTTGACCCTGGTCTTCCCCCCACGCCCTGGATGTATATTCTCCAATGGGACACATCCATAGCCAAGACCCATCAATCAGGCTCTCCAGTAATAATTTTCTGCACCAGAAGCTTCGGTTGCCAAAGCAATTATCTGAAGCATTTAAGGAATGCACTGCTTTCCCCCACTCCCTTTCTGCTGGCCAATAAAAAGACCAAATCGAGTATTTTTCCGTTGACAAATGCTTCTTTTGAGACCCCAATACCTGCTTCCCTGCCAGCACGATATTTGTCACTTCTCGGTGAGACGGGCAGCATGCAAGTCTAATAAACGCCCATTTGCCCACCTCAGTTAGGTGAGTCCAGGGGAGAGGAGGCAGCAGTTCCTGGCACACCTTCCCTGGGCCCTGAAGCTCAGCAGGACCCAGACTCAGATCCTCCACGGACAGGAATCTGGGAGGGCCAAGACCCGAGTTGGACCTAAAGGAAACGTTCCTTGACCTTGGGTTCCCTCCTGCAGAGAGAAATGTGTTGGATGGAGGGTGTGGTGGTAGGAAAGGATAAGAAGAAAGAAAAGCACCAATTTTGAAATAGTGAAGGAAAGAAATCAGTGATGAGAAAGAAAAAGGAAAAGAGAGAGAGAGAGAGAGAAGAAAAAGAAAGGGGGAGGGAGAAAGGAAGAGGAAAGGGGAAAGGAAAGAAAGGAAAAGGGGAAGGGAGCGGAAGGGAAGGGAACAAAAGGAGAGGAGAGGAGGTTGAAGGAAGGAAGGATGGAAGGAGAAAGGGAGGGAGGGAGGAAAGAAGGGGGGTGAAGGGAAAGTGAGAGGCAGAGGGAAGGAAGGAAGGAAGGAAGGAAGGAAGGAAGGAAGGAAGGAAGGAAGGAAGGAAGGAAGGAAGGAAGGAAGGAAGGAAGGAAGGAAGGAATGGGTTATGAAGAAGTGATTCTGGTCTCCTTAATAACAGCTACAAGTACATGTATAGTTTACCCTCTCTGTCAGCTGGTGCTCCATTCGAAATCCAAGAAAGAAATACTTAGACTCCATTAATCAGAGAAAAGTTATCTTTTACTGGAAATCAAGTGGTAGCAACAAAAGAATTCTGAATCTGAGGAAATGGGCACGTAAATCACATATACAAAGTAATGGCAACGTTCCCACCCCCAATAGTTCAAATGGTTCTTCCAATTAAAAGTTGTGAATATCATCATGTGGGCATCTCCAGGTGGTGATGAGGCTTCTGTCCGTTGACCTTGGCATAGTTGTAATGATGAGGCAGTCGAGGTGTTTGATCATGATCAATTGAATCATGATGAACTTTATTGGAGTCTAGTCTTGCATTTATACACATTTTTAGTAATCCTCCAACATTGGTTAACTCTGGTTTCTGCTTAACTTTCGTTACTGTTCAGCATAGTAACTAACGCAATTAATTATCTCTAGTCAAAGTCCAACATATGTTTACTTCCTCTCTCTAATCCTCCTTTACATTAGTGACTTTGTTTGCCTGAGTTGTATTTGCTTGGAAACGTTCTTTATCTGAGGTTTGCCATTCAAGATAAGAAATTCCTGCAATTACAACGCTACATGGCATAGTTTGATAAAGGTTTGCAGCTGCGCATAGCATAGAAGAGAAAGCTAAGCAAGGAATAGAAACCTAAGCAAGAATGTACTCCCCCCGCCCCCAGTTTATACAGTTATGATTTGTAACACCTCCAGCTCACTTCCCATAATTTTCCCCCTTCCTCCCCCCGTTACTTATGACAGCCGAAAGATGCAAAGCAAAGGGAGAAAATCTTGAAGGCTGACACTCTCTAAGGTTACAACACTTCCTCCTTCTTCTTCTTCTTCTTCTTCTTCTTCTTCTTCTTCTTCTTCTTCT